TCATTTAAGTTTTAGGAACAATTGAAATTCATCTTGATATCATTGGGTTTTCTTTTAATATTTATTTATTTATTTTACAATGGTTGATTTTCATCGATGTAATTTCACTCTTTTAATGAAGCCCCCACCCTCGCCTTGTGAAAGTTTATAGTGAACATTGAATAATTTTGGATTTCTCCCTTTCTCTCTCTCTCTCTCTTTGTGTGTGTGTGTGTATTTGTCCATTTTCATTTCTGTTTGTATTTGTATTTGTTTATGGTCATCTTTTGATATTTCAATCCTTCTGTTTTGGTTTTCATTACACATACATTTCAATTTAATTTATGTGATTAAACTTTGATAAAGAGGATTCACTAAGGGGAAAAAACACAATTAATTTCCATTTGTAAGAGTTTATATCTTCTCATTGTTGATATTGAGGATTGTAACTGACCAATCTCTTTTACCATGTTTACTAAAAAAAATCGGGTTTATCATTGGATAACACTTTTGAGACATTCCACTCATGTATTTAATTACAATTCTAAACATTAACAATTGAAAAGTGCAATCCTTTATCAGTAAAACCCATACCCGTTTTACAAGCTGGTGCCTATTTGAATTCAGTAGCTCAGTAGATAAAAGATTGACTTCTGCAGCGAAGTGTACTGGGTTTGAGTCCCTATATGATTACCAACACTGGAATATGGTGGGTACTTTCAGCTGAGGACAAGCCATTAATAGGACGAAACACGTTTTTAGATTCCACTACTAGTTATTATCCAAATTTCCGGAAAACATTAAATTTCTGTTTTCCATTTCTGATTTCGACCTGATCTTTGACTTCGTTCGGAAGAAATTGATCTTCTATACATTAACAATAATAAAAACTAATCAATTTAGTCTTCAACATATCTGTTCTACTATGATCTAAATTAAACAACCATTAAAAACCTAGAACCAAAATCAGTAGACAGCTATTTCGTCCCAATATAGAACACCTCATCGTACATTCACAACCCCATCATCAGATTTTTCCTGATTTCATAGTGTTTTCTTCAAATCTGAGCCTTGTTTCTTCTTAAAAGTCTATTTCCTATACTATGGTTCATGAACATGTTCAAGATCGTGTGAATATCGAACTAGTCAATCAGTTATTCTTCAAAAAGAGTTGAATAGTTATTTTCTCCAACTGTTTTTCCACTCTCTATACTGTATCAGATAGGATGATATAAGAAAGTGATATAAAACATCATTTTGCATAATTTATACAATATCTATTTTTAATGCAACATACTACTTATGTTATTATCATTACCATATCTCCACTTGTTTCTTTTCTTTTTTCTGTACCTAATTAAGGAAAATATTTCATTAACATTTCAAGACATTTCAATATGTGTGTTGTGTTATTCTTCTCTTTTTTCTTTATTATCTGCGTAGTTTATTGACTTCGTGATATTTAATACTTCGTTTTTTTCGGTAGTGGGTCCATGTTTACATTTTGCATTGATCTTTCAACATACATGACATTGATCACTACCCAGTGATCAATCAATTGTGATTAAATCTCAGTCCTACAGGAGGTCGGTCGTTGCTCGGATAGCTCAGTGGTAACGTCTCTGACCGTGAAGCTGGGTGACACGGGATGGAATCCGTCAGGGAGCACCAGCTCCCTCAAGATTACAGGTACACCTTGCTAACAAGTGCCAAACAGTACGAAACTCGGAGCCAAGGTTTTCTGTTGACTATCTTCAACCATCATATCTTTGAACTGTATTTGAAATGTTCATATTTGTAAGAATTAGTCATCGAATAGTATTAATGTATGTACTTTGTTTAAAAATGGAATATTGTAACCAAATGGTTAAGGATACATCTAAGAATCATTCACAATAGCACAAATGGTTTCACTTTTTTCTTCTCTTAGATCTTGAGTTTTGAAATTATTTTATACTTTTCTATTTGACGAATTGATTCTTTCCTCTTGTGTCTTATTGTTTATTCTTAAATATTTGTACTACCATCAATATTGTTACTAGCTATAATATCCTGGAATCGGTCTTGATAATTTTATCCGTTGAGCTATTTTGTCGTATTGTAGTGAATGAAAACTTGATGGAGAGATTCAATTAATTGTTAAATATAAAACTGCAGAATATCTTTATAAAATATGAAAACCATACATTGAATACCTTCACTTGTACACCTTCCTTCAACTGTCTTTTACATCCTTCATGATTCTTCCAATTCTCAATTCTTTTATATTTCTCTTTCTGTTTTCTTTAGTTCAATCTTCTCAACCTTCTTTTGACAGACATTCCACTTTTGATTGGTGTTACATACTACTTATGCCTGTTGACATAAGTAGCATATACCATAGGATGTCAATTTGAACTGATACACATATGTATTCATGATTTGTGTTATATTACATTTCACTGATTTATTCACAAACTAGATCAGACTAAACGAAATCTACAAATAGTAGTAATTAAGAAAATTCTTTTAAGTTCTATACATTACTTAATTGACTAGTTTATCAATGAAATAATTAAGTCAGATATAAGATAGTTATTGAATTACCAAAGTATATTTCGTTTTTATGTTGTACTCTATGCAACAAGTTAAAATTCAATGTGGGTGAAGGAGGATACATTTGTACTGGTAACACAGAGTTCTATGTTGTCCTAGATCTAATTGAATAACACCATATATCCTAAGGATAAAAACGATGCTTGTTACATGTTCTATTCTATAATAAGGTTAACATTATATGAGAGAGAAAACAAAGAAGCTGTTGTGTTCTCCTTAACATTTTAATATTAATATTCTCTTAACTTTAATTAAAATGAAAGAATAACCTATACCAACATAATCATTACTACAATGTTTAGTATCCTTTTCTAATTGAGTGCTCTATGTAGGTTAGGAGAAAGCTATTAAAAAAAAAAACCAAAATATGATACTAGTCGACGAAACGAACGACAATTGGTATGAGCCTTGTATGTGTTTGCTTTCTGAGCAATAATAGCTATTAGTGGTTGAAGATTTTGAGTGAGATAGCTCAAAATTAGCTACACTGACGCAAATGTATTCACCTGTTATCTTACTCTAGATCTTCGATTCTACTATTTTTTCATACATACCCTTTTATCCTGTATTCTCGAAATTCAGTCTTTTTTATTAGCATCATAATCAGAGAGTTGTTTTGTGGATATTATAGTAATTTAACAGTTGAACTCATAAGTCAATTGAAGCTAGACCACTATGGAAAACTTAGAAACCGTGACCAGTGGAGTTCAACTGCGTCTGTTTTGAGTTTGTAACTCACTGAAGACGATCGCGCAACCTTGTGAAGTGGTTGAAGTCAGACATTAACGCCGTTGGATTCCGGCCCAATGGTCTAGTGGTTAGGCGAGACTGATAGGCCCTGGGTTCGAACCTCGCATGGCAGGATCGTGGATGCGCACTGCCATAGAGTAGTCCCACAGTAGGAAGAAACGGCCATCTGGTGCTTCCAGGTTTTCTATGGTGGTCTAGCATCAATTAACTCATGAATTCAACCATTGAATTTTTTATTAGCGTTGTTTATGTCAACTCGTTATGTTAATGAAGTATGAAAACGTCGAGAAACGCGCAGTTGTTGCAAGTTTTACATTGATTATTGCTGGTTGACTTTAGCATGCTTCAATGGATTATTAAAAGTATGGTTAATAGGTGATAACAATAAAAATGAACATGTTCTATATGGTTGTGTAAGGTGACACAAAATATGACATTTTCACTTCTGAATAATTTGATGTTATTCCTTTAAGCAGGACTTAGATCATAAGATCAATATGAATCTCGTAGAGCATAAAGGAAATTATTTTCTTATTTGTAAGGAAAAAACGGGATGTTGACACTAGTAAAATAAGAAGTACCTTAAAGTACAGTGACTTGGAATTTTATCTCATTGGTAATCAAAAATGATTATCATACTTCGAAATACTGAGTTCTGTGAAAACCGTACAGTATTTCTTTCAATCACATAATTTAGGTGGTTGGAAGTAGCCAATAGGAAACTTTGTCTCGACCAGGTATCATGCTAGCTGGCAGTAGTCAGTTGGAGATGTCTATAAACTTGAGGTAACTTATGCTATTTGGAGAATTGAACTACTATAATTTGGTTTCACAATCTGAGACGTTACCACTGATGTATTCGGACCGTGATTAACTCCTAATAGGGGTAAAGTCTTTACTGTTGCGCCGTGATCAATATTATGTCTGTCTAGTTATTTGATAAATGCATTACAACTTGATCGATAGAATCCAATCAGCATTTTTTAAGTACTAGATATGTGCTCATTAGTGACTAAGTTCGAGAAGTAATTCTTGGAGTCCTAATGGGAAGCCGTGACCAGTGAAGTTGAACCGTGTTGGGTATGAGACAGTTATCCACCGGAGGCAGTGAAATATGGTCGCTCAATATCATCGATTGGTTGAAGTTGGACATTAACACCGTCGGACACCAGGTCAATGGTCTAGATATTAAGCGTTTGCACATGAGACTGAAGGTCCTGGGTTCTAGTGCTGCGTACGGGGTCCTGAATGCGCACTGATGAGGAATCCCGTACTGGAAGAAACCGTTTTCCTATTGCTTTCAGGTTTTTAATGTTTGTCTAACTTAGACTGGTTCATAATCTCAACGATACATCCGCTGTAAACATCGTAATTTTGTGTGTGTGTGTGTGTGTGTGTGTTTAAAGCACGAGATAGTTAATAATTCTAATGGTTTGTTTGCAAATACAATACTCACGCCATGCTTTGTTCTATTCACTTGATTCAATTTATTAGCTCTCGTGCAATAAACACGAAAATTTATTGTAGTCTACCTGAAAAGTATGAAACCGGAAATAAACGCTTATATACCTAACACAGAGTTCTGTAAATGTGACAAATATTGGGAATATACATTTATTTAATGTTTCAAATAATCATTTATCACATTTTTTATTATTATTAATCCAATTTTGTAGGGAATGGTACAGTTGAATTTGACGAGTTCTTAAGAATGATGCGAAGGTATTCTCAAAATCAACGACCGAAATCTTCTGATGATGAACTTCGTGAAGCTTTTAACGTAAGTAATTGTTTACTATGATGTAATATCTCTTTTTTATGCATTTCGGTGGATTACACCGAACTGATTTATACATTCTTAGTTTTTAAATCACAAACTGATCTTAGTTAGGTCACCAACGAAATTCTAGAAGCACTGAATGACTGTTTCTTCCTAGTATGGGATTCATCAGTGCGTATCCAGGAATTGAACTCAGAACCTTCGGTCTCGCGTATGAACCCCTAGATTGCTGAAATGGCACTCAGAGGATGTTAATACCTAACTTTAGCCAATCCAAGATATTACGTGACCATCTTCCATTACCTGCGGTGAATAACTGTTTCACACGGTATGGTTGAAATCATGGATACGGGGTCGTAGACACTCACTACTGAATAGCATTCAAGGACGGAATGACCATTCAATACCTTCAGGTTTTCAATAGTGGTCTATTTAAGATCAGTTCATGATTTTAAACCTGTGAAAATTCTATAATCTGCACAAAATCCTATGCTGAATATTTTTTTTACCACAAATACATGATCTAACATGTATTCATAAAAAAAATATGAACTAAGAATTTATTCCATTTTGTATGTAGACTTAGTAATGTACTATTCGATGAATAAAGACTGATTGTATACACAATGATGAAAATGAGATGTAGTTTCTCAAAGACGCATGTGTAATCTTGATTGTATACTATAAATTCAATTCATATACTTTGCTTTATAAATAAACAATTTAATGTTAAGTATCATTATCTTTCATTTACATGTTGGATGTAATGTCCTACCGATTCTGTAGTGAACAAGAAGACGAATGAGGATAATCGAATGTATTTGTTATGAAATTACAGAGCATCTGAATAAAATCTGAGAATCATATAGTAAATAGTTAATTTGTAAAATATCAATCCATCGTCTCGAATTTCATTGTTCATACACTTTCATACTAATTGCTTTCCGTTTCCGTTCTTTCCTTCTTGGTCTTCTACTGAAATACATTCTATGCCTGACCACCGTTACATACTACTTATATAGATATAAGTAACCCACACCACACCTTTACATTACTTAATACACTATAAATCTTTAGGTACATCCTTTTGAATTTATAATTGGGATATATAATTACTAAAATACTTCTGTTAGGTCCCGATAAACATAATGAGTGGTAACTTTTGGGATCTATTGATGGACCAATACTAAACGTATATTTCTATTGTATAATTATTAAGTAACTAAACTATGCATATTCATATTCCTCTTATATAAGCCTTATTTTGACCCATAGACTATTATTATACGTTTTACCATTCTTGAGTTATACCCTGTATATTAATTACTACCTTCCTTATTCACAGCCACATCTGGCTAATTCTTGTACAAATTTTTTATTTTATTGATACGTTGTGGTCTGTTTGATTGGTATATAAACTAAGTATGTTTGAAATAGAATGATTCATATTGCAAAGGCTGAGACTGGTATTCTGGATTTAACTGGTTGGTCTAGGCGGAAAGCAGGATCAATCAGAACTCTAGACTTCTCGCACGTGTTTTACGCGATGATGACATTGACTGAATTATCTTTGCTTTTCCCGAGCATGCATTGCGGAGCCTCAGCATCACTGACATAATGTTGACACAATATGAGCAATAATTTGGAGACAACGATAATCAAACATTAATTTCCCGAATTGCTGTTACCGACCCGTTGTAAACCCAACCTATTAAACACAGACTAACATCACAACAACACTAAAAGTGGCCAAACCTAACCTTCTCTATTGATTTGATCTGCCATCCCACCAACAGCACTGGCTTGACAACCCAGATACAGGGACTTTTGAACTGTTTCCAATATATATAACTTATTTGGTTCCATTCTTTTTAATTATAATAGATACCTCATTGATTAGCACTTTTTCTCTGTAGTTCGTCTTCTTTCTATCTGGAAAGTAATAATAATAATGCTTCACAAGCACTTGTGTGTGTATGTGAATGTAATGGTACACATTACATATCATTTTAAAATCATTTCACTCCATTGTTTTATTTGCTCTTAAGATTCTGTTCAGTTGAATTAATTCTACTTCATACTGACTTGTACTACACAATGATTAATACAAATGATCGACGTGAGCAATAAAGAGAGGAGAGGGATAAAGAAAAAACACAAACAATAAAATTGCGCATCCCGTACCATCTCACCCCCCACAGTATTTGACTGTGACAATCAGCATTTTATTATCTTTTTATGATCAGAATAGGGATAAACTAGATTTGGGGGGTGGGTAGAAGAATGGGGTTATTTATTCCATTCATTGAAAAAGCATTGACCTGTATGTATGTGTAGATGCGTCTACAACTATATACATGAATAACTGATATTACTTTGGGTAATGCAATAAGACGGAGACTATCAGAACTATGTTAGCGCAAAACGTTTCAAACAGTCTAATCATACATATACGTGTTAGAAACATTTCTATATGAAAAAACCAAAAGGTGAACTAGATACAGTTTATTCTCATTTTTAAGCCTACCCTGGTAATATTATAAGGACTTTCGTCCAAATTTGATCGAATAGTTTCACAGTATTTGGGCACCGAGTTGATGTCAGACATTGATTAAATTTCCTTGAAAAAGCTTGGACCAGATTGCCAGGAGAAACATTGGATTTACTTCAAATTCATTCGCTAAGATGTTACAAATACATTCTTCCTGGTAATATTAGTTTATTATTCAGCGTGATGAGTTTTCACGTTGTTTTTAAAAAGAAATACTATTCTCTCTATTATCTTTGTTTGCTTTTACCTTCCATTTCTAGTCTAGTTGACCTTTTATTTTCGCCTATATCAATGTTCATAACAAGGTGTATGTGTTTAGATGGTGTTTTGAGGTAGTTGACAGGAAACCCTGGACCTGAGTTTCGTGCTACTTGGCACTCGTCAGCAAGATGTACCTGTAATCATGAGGGAACTAGTGCTCGCTGACGGATTCAACCTCATGTCACCCAGCTTCACTAGAGTGCTAAGTAGCACGAAAACCCGGGTCCAGGGTTCCCTGTTGACTACCTCCAACCACCATCTTATCTCAATATAGTGCACGTAGTGTCGAGTCACCTAAACTGGTGGTCACATTGCAACTTTATCGACAGGATTCGATCTTCACTAAAAAGGACTTGACACACATGACACTGATCACCATCCAGTGATCAATCAATTGTGAAGGTGTATGTGTGATCAGATTGTTCAAAATGTTTATTACACCAATATATCATCATGTAGTTCTGATAATCTTCGTCTTCTTATTATGTAACTAATTCGTAGGTAATGATGATGAACTCTTCAGCTATTCATATTTCAATACAATAGAAATTGTTCGTTTCTCTTTTATAAATTATTAAATAACTACAGAATCTCATGTTTTATATTGCGGACTAACTTCAATTAAACAATCACCGAAAAGTAGGGAGTATTGGACAGCGGTTTCATCCTAGCATGAGGCTTCTCAGTGGCAGTCCTCATTCACGACAGCGACATAGAGGATCAAAACTGGGCCTCTGAAGTCTCACAATGAGTTCTTGACTCTAAGACCACTTAGCTGGCAAACAATGGTTTATATTTATAACGTCAATTGATTCACAATATTACGCAACTATCTCTCAGTGTCATTGGTGGGCATCTGTCTCACATTCTGTATAGTTTAACTCCGTTGGTCATAACTCCTCTTCTACTAGAATCAAATCTTTATCCAGTGCTTTCTGGTCTTCTTTAAGTTGTTTAACTAAGATCATTCCATAATGTAAACTGTGAAATTCAATGATCTCAATAAACCTCTAGTGTACTTCTCATTTCTTACTTTCAGTGATTATCCCTTTGTAATTTGTGCCCAGAAATCACCATAACAACCACATAAACTAACAAAATAAAGTTTATGAACAGTTTATCCCTTATATATATATGCAACCACACAGTATACTCAAACAGATAGAACGAAAGTTAAACCAGTATAATAAATGAATGAATAAATCAATTAATAAAAATGACAAATCTGTCAATACTGGTTTATATTTACCACTTGTTCTCAGATGTTTGCTACCATTTTTACCATACCTCTGTGCGCTTTCCTTTTTATTTATAAAAATTACATTATGTCTATGGGACAATATTCTTGTTCTCTTCTTATACTGAAATATGTTCATTACGGTCAACTGAACAGGGAATATGTTAAACATTAGATATGTTGATTAACTTTCTTCTCTGAAGATTAAGTAATCGTTTTTTTAAAGCAGAAATGGATGATGGTTAACAGTGGAATCTAGAACGGACGTTTCGTCCTATTTGGGACTCATCTTCTAGATGAACCTGTATTTGTTTCTGGGACTCGAACCCAGCACCGTTCGCTTGAACAGCCATTATGTTATTCATTTATTTCATTCCACAAGCTAGTGGCTATCTGTACTCACTAGATAAGTGATATTTACTAATGTGTTAGGGAGTTGGAAGAAAGTTAGGAACAAATGATCCAAAACGTGACATTAGTCCAAGGATTTACTGACTGTTGGTCTGAGTTATTTGTTGGCAGATGCAAGTCATGTGGTTTGGGTCCTCAAAATTATTGTGACAATTAATAGAAGAGGCTAAGCGATATGACACAAAGTCTACCACTATAGTACAGATGTATCTCTTCTTTGTCTCTCATTAGATTCTGAATTCTGAAATTTTCTACTGTTGTTTTGCGTCTACTACTTTAGAATTTTTCTTCATAATTTCATTTCACTATGTTAATATGATATGACGGTTTAAACGGTTGTATATATGTGGCAGATTCGATATTGGCATATAACTGATTGGTTGTGAATGAAATAGTTGTTCACTGTTCCTAAACTTTCAATTCTGTCCTAATTCAAATTAATCTATGATGAAAATATCCATTCAGCTAAGTGTGAAAACTAATTATATATCCAAATTTTTTAAAATTAACTGTTATTATTATTATTATTATCAGAACGGGTTTTTGTGGAGATTGTAGTAATTTCAATATTTGAGATCATGAGTCAGTTGAAGCTAGACCACAGTAGAAAACCTCGAAGCACTGGAAGGCCGTTTCATCCTATTGTGTAACTCCTCAGCAGTGCGGATTCGCGACCTCGCCTCGCGGTATTCGGACCCAGAACCTATCAGTCTCGCGCATGAGCGCTTAACCATTAGACTACTGAGCTGGCCGACATCCAACAGTGTTAATGTCTAACTTCACCTAATTATTAACTTATTATTATTATTGTCAGTATATGCATTTATTCTTCTCTTAGGTATTTGATCAGAATGGTGATTCGGTCATTGATTTTAGTGAAATTAAACAAACAATGCATTTTTTGGGTGAAGCAGTCACTGATGATGAAGTACGTCAAATGATTAAAGAAGCTGACTTAGATAAAAATGGATCAATTGATTTTAGAGGTAAATTAGTAAATTTGATTTTTTTCTCTCAAGAGTTTGTTTTTGTTCTTAATAATAATTTGTGAGGATAGTTCACGGGTGAACTTGTGGAAGCTCTAATAAGTTCAGAAAGAGCTGAAAATATTTTGGTGGAGTTTTGTTCTCTGAGCTGGGTGGTTCGGTCGTGGAGCTTTCATTGTTCTTCTGAACGACATCATCAGCACAAACTTCAGGTAGAAGTGAAGTGTCCGAATTTCTCCATATGTGTTTCACAGCTTGTTCTGTGCACCTCGATGTTGATTGGTTCTTATTGACCTTAAATTTTTCATTGTTTACTTCTTTGTTTTTGGTCGTATCTCCCATTGGTTTGATTTTCGTTCACATATTTGTGCATGATTTTCCTGATTAGTTGGTAAATTAGACTGATTTCAATATGCTTGTTGATTGCTGATTGACCTGAGTACCAGGCTTCTAAAAATTCTCTGGTGTTTTTGGAGTTTCCTCTGTCTAAGATTTCCACATTTTTCCAGTCGAATGAGTGTCCGCAGTTGTCCACGTGTATTGATATAAGTGAGGAGATATCATGCCGTTCGACTGCTAATTGATGTTCGTGTAGGCGAAAGTGAAGGGGCGTCCGCTTTGTCCGATGTAGTGTTTTTCACAGTTGGCACAATTTATTTTGCAGATGATGTTTGATTTGTTTTCCTTTGTTATTTCATTCTTTGGTTTGCATAGGATTGATTGTAGTGATGCTGAAAATATTCCATCCAATCATCTTTGGAAGAATATAATAATGATGGTGATGATGATGAGAATCGCTTTAGTTTTTTTATTATGCAGAATCACTTTCCTATAAATTCCTCATTGAAGATCGGTTGACAGTCTTACATGGATAAATTAATTCATTTCCTCTTTTAAATAGATCTTATCCAGTCCTTCTTTGTTTTCAGTGGTTCTCTTTCTAGCTAAGATCAGTTCGTGATGTAAACTATGAAATTCAATTACCTCCACAAAAACCTAATAATAAGAATTTTCGATTCATGAAGTGAATTGCTAAAATACTAATCAGTGGTTAATGATGCAGTGTTACAATAAAGCACAGTGATAATGGTTACTCACGAGATCGAATCGCTGATATAATCCCTTAATTAATCTGATATTAGACAATAAGATTGCTAACTACCCAGTAGAATAAGTATTTTTTTCACTAACAAATAACGCAATTAACCTGAATGACTTCCAGGGAATTTCGATTGAGATTCTGAGACGGAAGTGGAGAGCTTACTAGCAGAAGATTGAAATAAAGAGAAGAAGCAAAGCAGAGAGAAATCTGAATAACACCAGGATTGGTAAAACAATGGAGTATGTAAAGAACAGATGAAGGAAAATTTGCAAATAATGTATTCAATGTATGATTAGCATATTTTACAAATCCATTGTGTGATTTGCTTAAAAATGATAGATTGGTTTTCCCCACCAAGTCTTCGTTCATTACAAGACCACCATTGAGAACCCGGAAGCATTAGATGGCCTTTCTATCCTCGTAAGTGAATTCTTAGTAGTACGCATCCATGACTCGGCACCTAGAAATCGAATCTAGGATATTCGGTCTTGTTGACGAATGCCTAACTTCTAGATCACTGAGCTGGCACTCAGAGGATGTTACTATCTAACTTCATCCGGTTCCAGATATTGTGTGACCATCTTTAATTAGCTCGGGTGGATAATTATCTCATACTAAAACGAGACACCCACCCAATGCCCTCAGGTTTTCGTTAGTACTTTATATAAGATCAGTTCGGAATTTGAAAATTACGAAAATTCTATTATCTCCAGAAAACCTTACTATAAATTGTCTGAACTTAGAAAACGTGAATTATCGGTCACTGTTTAAATAGTAATTTTCTTGTCATAAAACTGAACGGACTCCAATCTTATACTGGATTACAAGTGTATGCATCGTTTAATCCCAGACTAAATGATCTTAACAGTCCTTTAATATACTCTATATCTTTCAATGGTTCTCTAGCGTGTTCTCATAAACATTACTACCTAAAATAATCAAGAGAGACCATATCATCTTACATTATTACTTTCACTTATTTTCTTTAAACAAGAAATATTAGTTCAGTGAAGAGCTCTCCCCTTTTCGGTGAATTCATTTTCAAAGCTGTACAATCGCAAATATATATATATATATATATATATATATATATATATATATATATATATATATATATATATATATATACTTATTTTTACAGGATGACAATAATATTTATTTATTTTAACACATAGATATTGGTACAAGGAGGCACCAAATACATATGCGCCACAAAAATCTCATTCGATATGTGTGAGGGCTGTGATACTGCCCGGGTGCCCAGACCAAAGCAGGTGGTTTTCTTAGGGGCCACACCCCGAGCCTTCGACCTGAAGGTCTGATCCACAAGGCAGTGGAGCATCGTAAAGAGATCCAATCTCATTGAGGCCGGTGACCAACAATTGGTTCATACACCATTTGTTCCCGCAGGATACTGGAGCCCATGTGCACAATTGGTTTAAAATCCAGTTAAAGCGTCGGACATTAGCTTTTCATCCTCTCAACTTCGTAAACAACACCCGTGGCGCGAGAAGGCAGTGAGTAGGACTTCCTTGGCAGAGGCTATATACGCGTGGCTATGTAAGAGCATTTTGAGAGGGAGAGCGGACTCTCCCCACTCTCGGCCGTACCAGGGCATTTAGGGGTGAATGATAATAATACTGATAATAAACTTCTGTTATACATGGTGACAGTCAGGTTAAATAAACAAACGTATTAAAAAAAATTTTAAAACAAGGAAAGTTTTGATTATTAATGGCCTCAGTATTCATCTAAAGATAAATAGGGAAATTATCATTAGGAAAAGATTGTACAGTTTTGAAAATGAATTCACCCAAAAGGGGAGAACTCTTCACTGAACTAATCTTAATTGGGTGTATTTCTATTTTAACTTATTTTTTCTTGTCTATTCTTTCTATTTTAGAATTCAAAATGATGATGAAATCACTACGGTCACGTGATGGTAAAAAGAAGAAATCAAAATAACCATTTTTCTACGTTCTTTTTTTTCCACATCTAAACTAATTCCTTATTGATTCAATGTAAAACTTCACCTATTTTGTTTGTCTATAAAATGATATAAAACTTTCAAAAATACTCAATTATATACACATAAATATATGTATATATACAATATATAATGATATAATGGTTACAGTAACATTTAATTGACAACAACGGATCCCATACATATATATATCTTGTCGTTATCAGTATAGTAATTTAAGAAGAATTACATTTTCTCAAAGGTCTATACACACAGTACCATATTTTTCACGTATTTTTATATGTATGTATGTATGTGTGTATGTATGTATGAATGAATGAATAGATCAATACTCTTATTCTATTGTAAAGACCTGGAGAAATGTCTGCTTCCATCACTCACTAATACACATACTCATACACACACACACACACAAAATATTTCGACCATATGTCTGTATGTTACTATGGCAGCGTGCCTACATTCTTTAGTCTTTAATTATTACTTTTCCCCTTCTTACTTTTGTGCACTGAAAGTATCTGTTATTTGATTTAATGATTCTTTCATCTTTTCTTTTGTTTTCTCTTTGATTTTTCTTTATTTCGCAATTGTTTCTATCTGTCTATTTGTTTATTTGATATGGACCATAATAACTGGTCACTTTTTACCTTGTTTACAAGTGAATATTTGTTGTGGGATTTCATTTCTCTCATTAAATAGAGAAGTTATGTTTGTGTTTCATTTTCTTTTGTAGTTCATGAATAAACAAGAATTTATTTCTATTATTCTATCTCAACTTTAAGCATACAGACCAATTAGAAAAGACACAAGAGTGTTTCTTGTCAGTGTCATCCTCATCATTATCAACGTTAAAATTCATCTTCAATCCAGCACTATTCAGCGTGTAGATTTGCTTTACTGTATTACTGTGCTTCAATTTTTCTATACCCATGTTTGTGTGCATGTGTGTGTGTGTGCGTACGTGCGTTCGTGCGGAGGTGTATACGTATATTTGTACGTTGATTTTTAGTCGAGATCTCTTCCTCAAAAATAATCTATTCAACATTGTTTGTTTTTCAAATTATTTTTCCTATATGGGGATAAATGTGGTTTTCATTGAGACCTGTGATTATTATCATTAATACTGTTACATAAACCAAATTTTCTTCTGGTTCATTATTTTCCCTCTCTCTCTCTCTCTTTCCTTTTTTGTAATCATAACAAGAAAAAAAAGAAAAGTGTTCATCCAATAGTTGCTAATATATTCGTTCATTTGTATTACATCCTCTTCATTATATTATATCCATCATTGTTTATTCTTAAGATTCAATCATCCAATTTTAATATTTCCTCTGTTTATCTACCAGAAACATATACACACATTAATGAGAAAGTTTTCTTTACAAAATTCTATGATGATAGCAATTGTTATTATCATTATAACTATTGTTACTCATTGACTACTAATTATCGTATATCAGTAGTAGTATTACTAGTGGTAGTAATAATAATAATAATAGTACTAGTAACAGTAGTAATTAATTATTACTAAAAAAACGATTAAACAACATTCCAGGAAAAAATTTTTTTGTAATTTCAACCTTAGATTTTCACCATAGAAATTAGGGAAGTAAACTAGTTCTTCTTTCTTTTTTTATTGTTGCATGTTCATCCTATGTGCATGTTTACTTAGATCTATATGAATATGTTACTGTTCATCGATATTTGAAATTCTGTTTAACAAAAGAAATAGAGACGGATAAAATGAAAAAAAAAGAACATCATGAATTGATTAGTTCATTCTGATAGAAGTTACCTATCTTAATTTCTAGAAGAAAGAACAAACTTTCAAAAAAAATGTAGTAGTAGTTGAAATGTAGTAGTACTCTTCCTCTCCCTCCTTCCCTACCCCCCTCCCTCTATCTCTCTCTCTCCATTTACTGACTTCTCCTCATTTTCAAGTAGTTCATCTTCAGATAAATTTAAGCTGAGGTTGAGAGAGACTTTCTTCTGTCATCTATCATTATCTTACATTGTTCATGAGAGATTATCTTTAATTTTAAAAGAATTTGTACACTTCATTAATGCTCTTCTGATTTTTATCCTATGATCATATGATTTTTCTCTTAACAATCATCTTCATAATAATTTTAACATACACAAACTGATATAGTACTTGTGTGTATTACCTTTACTACATAGAATATGAACTTCAGCTAATACAATAAGGACCACTACATATTGTTCCTAATAAAATAACTATCTCTTTCTCTCTATTTGTGTTTCTATCTCTCTGTGTATGTGTGTGTGTGTGTCGGTGTGTGGGTGTGAGTACATGTGTAGTTGAGAGACAAGTTCCCCTTCATCCCTTAATGATTATCATTATTATTATTATAATTATCATCATGATCATTGTTTCATCATCATCATCATCATGATTATTGAATCTGCTCAATGAATGAAGAATATTAACAAATTGATTCAAACATTATTCTTCATTCACAGAATTATCTCTTTGTAGTAATTTTAATTGTATCCATTTTGGGTTTGTCAACTTTTTATTTTCAGTTTCCTGTTTTTTTTTTGTTAGAAAAACAACAACAACAAACAAACACACAATTCAATTGATTGATTGATTGATTAATTTGTTTTTGTATTTTGTATTTGTTTAAATTGGTAGTTGAGATAAAAAATTTTTTTATAGTTTAACGAAAAAAAAGATTTAGACCCCACCCCCGTTGTCGATAGTGTCCCCTTGAACTATTGAGTTGATTATTGATGGACATATAATATGCTACAATGTTTCATCATTTTTAAAAAAAAAATAATTGCACTACTATGAATAAGTGGCAAATTTCTCCTGCTTTGTCACCGGTTAATACTGATTGTTTGGATTGGTAACTTGATTGAGGTTGATAAAGTGAGTTTCATATCTATTGTTGAGCATCCGTTCAATAGAAATAGTATAAATGTATAGAGTAAATTTTGATTGGTGCATAACGAACGTTTGTCTATGAGCCATAGAAATTGATACCGATCTCATAGTTACATTTCAACAACATCTTGGGCATCGATCTTCCTCCTATAAATCTGACTACATACTGAAAATACGACTATAATTTAACATCTTCAAATCATAAATATCAGTTTCTTGATGAGCGGTAGAATAGATGCTTATATAGCGGAATCTTGAATAGTTTTGCAATAAATAAAACACATTGAAGATGTTGGGTCTTTATCCCGCTATCTGATTAGGAACACTCATATGTTTAATTTATCACCACCTCTTATTCACGGGAAATCCATGGTGTCATCAAGTTTTAACGAACGTCAAGGCTTATATCTTATATATTAGTTACCATTTTATAAGAGATTGAAACCAGTCCTTCTGTATCTATATCGTGACAAAGTTTTTTTTCTCTTTTCAAGGAAATTCAATAGACTGATTCCCAAGTAGTGATTAATGCCATATTTGTTTAGTTCCTTGGTGCTACTGACCGAATTCTATCGAAAAAGTTGTTTTATGGATACTAGTCTGAGAGATTTGACATCACGTACTGTATGTTGAAATGTTAGGTGATTAGAGGTAGTCGACAAGAAACCATGCCTCACCTAGATTCCGTACATTCCGGCACTTGTCAGCAAGTACTATCTGTAATCTTGGTGGAACCGGTTCTCCCAGAAGAATTAAAACCAGTGTCATCCATGACATCAACTGTAAACAAATCAGTCTTACAGCAGATCATTTATGGTCTGAATAGCTGATAAGTAATATTTCAGACTCGAAAATTGAATGAAGCGGCTTCAAATCCCGCAGATCGCATCAACTTCATCAAGATCGAAAGTTCTCTATGCCAGTTAGCATGAAGCTTAGGTTAAGAAAGATTTTCAACTGACCAACTTCAGACACTTAACATCATTCAATTAACAATATACAACAGATTTACTTACTTACACCTTTTAGTCTCAATGGAGCATAGGCCACTGACCAGCATCCTCCAACCCTCTCTACCTTCGGCCTTCCTTTCTAGTTCTATCCAATTTTGTTCATTCTTCTCATGTTTGTCTCCATTTCTCCGCGTATTGTGTTCATTGGTCTTTTTCTCTTCCTTTAGCCTTGAGGATTCCAGGCGAGGGCTTGCCTTGTGATGCAGTTCGGTACTTTACACAATGTGCGCCCTACGCACTTCCAGCGCTTCTTCCCCATTTCTTCCTCCACTGGAATCTGGTTTGTTCTCTCCCACAGTAGGTTGTTGCTCATAGTGTCTGGCCGACGGATCCGATGTACTTTGCATAGACAACTGTTAATAAACACTTGTATCTTCTGAATGATGGTTTTCATAGTTTTCCAAGTTTCCGACCCATACAGTAGAACTGTGTTGAAAATTCTGACTTTGGTGTTGGCTTGCGGAAAGTTGTTTTGAATTCCAGATGTTCTTCAGATGTAGAGCTACTGCTCTTGCTTTGCCGATCCATGCCTTCACATCTTCATCAGATCCACCGCGCTCATCAATGATGCTGCCGATATATATATATATATATATATATATATATATATATATATATATATATATATATATAATGGATTTTACATCTTCCAAATCTTCTCCGTCAATTGTGATTGGATTGGTGCATGCTGTGTTGTATTGGAGAATCTTGCTTTTCCCTTTGTGTATATTGAGACCTACTGCTGCTGAGGGTGCTGCTACACTGGTCGTTTTCTCCTACATTTGTTGTTGCGATTGCGATAGGAGGGCCAGATCATCTGCAAAGTCTAGATCGTCCAGCTGCATCCTAGATGTTCACTTTATCCCGTGCTTCCCCGCCCCCGCCCCAGATTTTGAATTCTTCATGATCCAGTCGATCACCAGGAGAAAGAGAAAGGGTGAGATTAAGCAACCTTGCCTGACACCGGTCTTTATTTCGATCGACTTTGTCAACTGCCCTCCATGCACGATTTTGCAGTTTAATCCATCATAGAAATTCTGTATGATATTGACTATCTTCTGAGGCACACCATAGTGTTGAAGGAGCCTTCATAATGTTGTTCTGTCCACGCTATTAAATGCCTTTTCGTAGTCAACGAAGTTGATGTAGAGTGATGAATCCCATTCAACTGACTGTTCCACTATGATCCGTAGTGTTGTGATTTGGTCTGTACACCATCTATCCTTACGGAATCCTGCCTGTTGGTCAGGAAGTTGGGCGTCTACACAGTCCTTTATCCTGTTTAACAATACCCTGTTGAAGACTTTTCCCGGTATTGAGAGAAGAGTGATGCCCCTGTAGTTATCGCAGTTGCTGAGATCGCCTTTCTTCGGTATTTTGATCAGGAGTCCTTCTTTCCAGTCTTTTGGTACTTGTTCCTCATCCCAAATCTTATTGAAGAGAATGTGGAGTATCCTTGCAGTTGCCGCTACGTCTGCTTCTAGTGCCTCTGCTGGGATGTTGTCCGGTCCTGCTGCTTTTCCACTCTTGATTTGTCTGATGGCCATGCTGATTTCTTCAATTGTTGGTGGGCCAACATCGATTGGCAGGTCCGTAGGTGCTACGTCGATGCAGGGTGGGTTCAGTAGGACTGGTCGATTCAAGAGTTTTTTGAAGTGTTCTACCCACCTGTTACGCTATTCTTCAATTCTGGTGATTACTTTGCCTTCCTTGCTTGTCACTGGTCGTTCTAGTTTACGATAATTTCCAGCGAGTTTCTTCGTTGTATCATACGATTGTTTCATGTTTCCTTCTCTTGCAGCCTTTTCCGCCGTCATTGCTAGATCTTCCACATATTCACGTTTGTGGGTTGTTATACTCCTCTTCACCTGCTTGTTTACTTCTGTATACTCAGCTTGTGCCTGTGTAGTGTGATCCAGTGAAGTCCATGTTGCTTTGTGTATGGGTTTATGTGGGAACATAGTACTGCCTATGACCATTTTTTCTGAAGGCACATAGGTTTGCAAATCTCCCACCATTTTCGTTTCTTTCACCTAATCCATGTAGTCGCATGATGTCTTCATATCCGGTGTCGTCCATTCCAACCTTAGGTCTCCCATCAGAACGGTTAAGTCCTTTGTTAGACACTTCTCGACGATTGACTGCAGCCTATCGTAGAATTGATCTTTAACGTCTTCATTGTAGTCGTTGGTAAGTGCATAGGATTGATTGACGTTCATTGTAATGCCCTCTTTCTTTGTTTTGAAAGAGGCTTTAATGATCCTTGATCCATGAGATTCCCATCCTATAAATAGTTTTTATGCTTGTTTGGATAGCATCGATGCAACTCCTTGTGTGTGTGGTCAGAGTATAACAGAATCTTCTCTAAAACTAGTTGTTGTTGTCCAACTTGCATTCAATGTGTTTCACTAATCCCAAATACTTCCAGGTTGTATCTTTTCATTTCTGTAACAATTTGGAAGACTCTCTCAATTCTCCATATTGTACAAACATTCCATGTACCTAAATTAATGGTTGCTGTGGTTGCCAAATTTACATGTTTATTAATAATGATCTTTCGTATTTCAACTCAACAACACAAACTTTCTCTATTGTATGTATATCTACATCAAGATCACTTCCATAATATTCACATGTGTTTAAATAAACAAATAAAATATATTAAAATGTTCTAATGGAATCTTTTTTTTTTCAAAAAAAGGGATGATTTATTACCCCTATTGACAATTTTCATATACCCTATTGATAATTTTATTGATAAGAGAGATTTGATTGAATGCACAGTTTTGATTTTTTTTTCTTTTCGAAACAAACAATAAATGTATGTTGTGTCAGTTACTATGCTAAGCCCATATATCTTATGTTCTAGCTTTCGGACATTCCATTCTATTCATTCTACTTGAGTCATATTCTGACCTTGTCAATCTATCCGCTTATCAGTCTTGACTGCTTTTATATATGAGCGTATATGTGTGTGCCCTTCTTATCCTATTAATCACATGTCAGTAGCTTAATTTTGTCTGACTATAAATATCGAGTAACGCTTGACTAAAATGGAGTTGGCTTCCCAGCCCTCTTCCCTGCGTGTCATTTTGCTTTACTATGTTTCATTCGCTTCATGTACGAAATATGTGTATTTTCAAGTCAATTCTCGTTATTCGACTTATTTAATTCCGTTATTGTGTAACGCGATTTAAGTCGACGATTATATACGAGAATAGGCGATAACAATCATTCGTACGATCTTGGAGTCAGATCCAAGGGCCGCCAAAATGTAAACCGTTTTTATTACAAAATGACATTTATATATGACCATGTATAATACTTTTATTCAATACTTTCTATCGAATATCTTCGAGGATGTAATAGGAACAATTATTAACATCTTATAATCATATTTCGATTATGATTAAAGATTCGCATTGTGAAAATTAGAACAATACATATAAATGATTTCACTGGTTGAAATCATGAGTCAATTGAAGCTAGACCATCATGGAAAACCTGGAAGAACTGGACGGCCGTTTCGTCCTAGTATGGGACTCCTCAACAGTGCGCATCCACGATCCCGTACCTCGCGAGATCCAAACCCAGGACCTATCAGTCTCGCGTCAGGCGCTTAGCCAACTAGACCACTGAGCCAATCGGCATCCAACGGTGTTAATGTCTAACTTCAACCAATCCACGAAGTTGCGCCACCGTACACGATTGTCTTCATTTGAGTTGATATCTCACAACAGATCTGGTTGAACTCCGCTGGTAACGACTTCTCACTAGAACTCTAGGAGTACCTACTGAAGTCAGTCACTAGTGAGCAGGTGATTATTATCATTAGAATGGGTTTTGTGGAGATTTTTAGAAATTTCACTGATTGAAATCATTAGTCAATTGAA